ACACCCAAATCAATAAACATTATGTTTATTGATTTTGGGTGTGGTTTATAATCATGAGCATCAAAGAGCTCAAAGGTAGTGGTCTACACAAGAATATAACTGGATAAGAGAGCTGGATGGCTCCACTAAAGCTGCTAAAGATAGCTGATTAGCTGCTGGACACTGTAAATGTATAAACACGTGGTCAATCGCCATAGCAACTATCTAAACCGTTTCCATGGAAATTCCTATTAGCATTCGCGAAAATTAGTCCTCACTACGGTACCACACTTGAACTTTTTGTATCCTTCCTCTTTTCTGTCTTACTTTTATTCATTCCTCCTTCTTTTGTATTTCTTTCTTTCTTTCTTCTCTCTAGGATTACAGGCAGCTCCAAACACACCTGGAGACTCTCAATAAGAAACTAACAGAAAAGGTTGAGGTATTAGACAAAGCCCAGCATACAGCAACTTCAGATCCAACGAGCAAGACTGACATCACTGTTGTAGGTGACATGGAGATTGATTCAGATACCGAAGCAAATGATGAACCCTCTCCAATTAATGAAACTCCTCAAATACTTCCAGTCCCTACCCCTTCCTTTCTTCCCCCTACTGTCACCCCCTCTCCTCATACCCCTACTGTCACCCCCTCTCCTCTCCCCCCTAATGTCACCCCCTCTCCTCTCCCCCCTAATATCACTCCTTCTTCTCTCCCTCCTTCTTCTCTCCCTCCTTCTCTACCTCATACAAACTTGCCTTTCCCTCCTTTCCATCCTTTTCAAGCTCCTCCCATCCATCCTCATCCACTTGCTCCCCCACATTCCATCCCTCCAGTCTCCACGGTACCATATTCTCCTTCGATGCCTAAACCTTATACTCCTATTGCTCCTCTTCCCCCTCATTTCCCTCTTCTCTCTGCATCACCTGGACAGTCTCTCGGAGCCACGCCCACATCCTTTTCGTCACCTGCCCCTACACCTCAATCAGCTCCACCCACCACAATGACAGAAGACCACACCTTTAATCAGCCAAAGACTCTTCCTGATAGTATTTTCCATGATTATAGTGACAGTGAGTCGGAGTCGGATAAACGTTATAGTCCGTCAGTTCCGCTCTCTCCAGAAGGCCATCAGGCCGCGCCTGCTTCTTGTCCTGACCCCAGTGAAGAAAGTGTTACTCTTTCCTCAAATAACTTCCAGTTTTATGGATCAGGTAACTATAGCAATGACAAAAAAGCTGACCAATCAAATAGTTCCGTTGCTCCAGTTGTTCCTGTTAATAGCCTCAGCGATACTATAAATAGCGTCGCCAGTCTTGTTTCTAAAAATAGCTCAACTTCTGATAATAATAGTAACAAGAAGCCGTACATCCAGCCTGAGGACATCAAGATAACTCCGTCGCTCACTAGCATACTAGGTGAGATATTCCCTCAGCTTTCTAAAAGTCTTGGAGAGAAGAGAAGGCGAGAGAGTCCCCTTCCGCCTGACCCCTCTCCTAATAAACTACCTAAGATAAACACAAGCACCACGACCGAGAGAGGGTTTGAGGAGACTCAGCCTCTAAACAATTCCTTTGTGAATGATTATCCTTATCCTGAGTCTTACCACGTCCCACCAAATATCCCTCCTCAAAGATTCCCTCCTCCGCAATCATTTCGTCCTCCACACCCTCACTTTGGTTTCCGACCCCCAGCTCCGAGAGGATTCCCTCTCCCTCCTAATGTTGCAATGCCTCCAGATGCATCCTATCATGGGAGCGGAGGAGAGCAGGATTTACAGTACCCACATAACCAGTTTAAACCAGTTAATAATGGTCGTAAGCCATCGAGGCAGTATTACTAGTTATTTCACACACTCACTACTCTCTCTCCTTTTTGTGTAATATTATCATATCCTTTTGCTAATGCATAAATGAGAATGCTGGAACATTTTGATTACAGCATAAAAATGGTAATTATTATTAAAAACTAAAAACATTGATTGATATGTACATGTATATAGAAATAGAAATCTAAAAGCAAGGATAAAATAAAACAAGCACTGAAGTTCTCGCTGAACCAGCAATCTATTAGACTATTACATTGGCAATGGTATTGAAACTCTTATCAAGCCAGCTTCTTTGACAGTCTTATTATTCTTAGCAATGACAACAGCAACGTCAGTCATAGACTTGGTCTGTGATAGCTCCTTTGCATATTTAATTTCATCAATAATTGGCTCAAGATCAAAAGACCAGTACAAAGTCATGAGAGAGTTGATAAAAAGTTTGGAGCTACCAGTACGGCTTGTCGAGTGGTGGTTGCCAAAGTGGCCCGCCATTGCATCAGTGATGGAAGAGCATACGATCGATTTTTGCATCTTTGAGGAGACAGCATGATACCCATCAATGTAAAACTGACCCTCTTTGGAGTGACGAGAGACGGAAAAGCAACCGTGAAAGCCTCCCTTTTGCTCAATGGTCGCAACGTTCTCGAGAAAGAGCCCGTGAGAGACTCCATGGAATGAGTCGACACCAAAACCCAGACAAGCAAGGATTTTAACAGGGACGCTGGTAAGTGTAGAAACTGCTACCATACTGCAGTGGTCTTCAGCTGGAGTGCCCATCCTCTCTTCGCTACCGAACATTAAGCTATCGGTCCCACCGTCCACTAGGACAACGGCATCGATTTTGTTATCGGAAACTATTTTGGAGTATGCGCTTGAGAGGGTTTTGGCACCTATCTCTCTATCAAAGGCATACACACTCACCTCCCTCTTCTCTCTCTCGCTCAGCCACTGGGCAAGATACAGCTCGGGGAAGTATCGGCCGTCTTCTTTTGTCTTGAACGAGCTTTTTACTTCATAGCAATCCTCACAGACTTTAGGAGGATGTATGGAACTGAGTGAAGTAAAGGAGAGGCTGGCGAAAGTTACGAACTTTCCTTGCTCTTTTAGAGCAGCATAAAGAGGAAGGGAACTTAGGACGTCGTATCCACCACCACATCCAGCGAGCAGGATCCTTTTAGAAGAAGAAAGGACATCAAAAAGACGAGGCCTGGTGATGCTCCATCCCGCCATTTTGAAGAAGTGTATTAGACTAGTGGGCGTGCCACTAGATGGGCGTGGCTAAGGTTAAGTGTGGGCGGGCTCGCTATCAGCTGTTCTGCAAAAGCCAAGAATAAAGTCAAGTTGCTTCTGTGTTCTTCTGATATATTACCAATGAGTACCACAGCAGCTCTGTCTCATAGCTCTCCAGCCTGGAGTTATTCTCCTCTCTCCCTCTCTTCTCTGTCTCCAGACAATCAAAAAGTACCTGGGTCTCCTCAAAACTCTCCTTTACATTCAACGTCTATCATTGGACTACGACCATCACCAATATTGTTCAATGCCCCAGGGGGCTCTCAGGCATGTGATGCTAGGGTACCTGAAGTAGCATCATCTTTACTAAGACGCGTCCTTGATGGTAATATTGATCATTGATTTAATATCAAGTTTATTATTTCATTCCTGATTAGTACCACAGAAAAGAGGACTGCCTTCGCCTACTCCTTCACCAATAATGAATAAGAAGTCCTGCCGGGTTCCTGGTTGTACCACACCCACCACACCATGTAAACTAGCAATGATATGTACTAAACATGTACTAACTGTGCCCTCTTTGTTCATTTATTCTAGCTACGCCACTGTGTCTTGTAGTTGTAACTTGTAAAATTTGTACATACATTGTGGATGTACTTCTGTCTGTCCTTTAATTGCCCCCCCCTCTCTCTCTCCTCTCTTTGTTGCAGCCACATTAGAGCAAGTGGTCCCTACCAGTAAATACAGTAATGTTAGAGTCACTGGACTCAAACCCTCCCCTAGACCTGGCTCCTCCTCCTCCTCTCCCTCCCTCTCTCCTCGTAGCTTGACTGTAAGTACTAGGACAAGGTGTGGCAAGGTCAAGGTTTTCAACCTATTTGAGGACAACGAGATATTTGCAACAAGAGAAGAATGAACAAGTACTATCTATGAATAGAGAGGGCCACAATGCATGTTCACAAAGACACAAATCACTCACACAATGTAAACTAACAGTTCCTGTCTATAGCCACTGGTTGACTGGCAGGACCATAATATGAATCATATGTTATACCTTAATATCATAATAATACAATGTGATATTTACTTATTTGATTTTATCATTGTTCTGTTGATATTAAACTAAGAAGTTCCTCATACACGCTTCTCTTGTTCCTGTTGGGGCCAGCTGAAAGTTTCTCAGTTGAAGAGGGTTTTGAGTCGCTCTTTAACCAGGTCTTACGCAGTGCCTCACAACTAGAGAGATTCCAAGAAAAGACACCCACTTCCTATTAAAATTATGCAGTATATTTGCACATCATACCCACACATTTAGGGGCTACGTGGAGCACATGTAATGCACATGTACCTCTGTGTCCTCCATTTTAGCTATGACTGCCGTGACATCAGAGCCAGTAGCCAGTGTGCCCTTTGGATCCGACAATAAGGAGTACGAAGGAGGGAGACAAAAGCTACCGATGGCTTCTCCTTTATCTATGTCCCACATTATAAGCTGACTCTCTCCTCCATGTAAAGAAGTGATCTACAATTTACAATGATAGTAATGCTATAGGAATATTGCAAGGAATTATACTCACAGTAGACGGGAGGCTTGTGTTTTGTTTCAGCTCATACACAGGCCCAGAGACTCTGTACCCTCTAAAAGAAATACATATATAAAAAGCTCCTTGCAATGAGATTTTCATTTTTTAAAATAATAATAAAAAAACATCTTTCTGCCTGCTAAAGTAGTTTACTCAGTAAGTTTGGTGATAGTAGGTCGTCCTGGTCCTGCCCACTTTGCATGAACAACACTTCCATCCTTACACCCAACAATGATCTCTGCCTTACGTGAGGGGACACAATTCACGAAATAAAGTGCAGTAATGGAGACAGGGGCAATGTTTATCACGCCCCAAAAACTACCAACTAGAGAGAGAGAGGGAGGGAGGGTTGAGTGTTAACTGCTCAAATGAAAGAGGAAGCTCACTTGTAGCCGATAAGTCGAAGAGAGATAATAGTCCAGGACATTGTCCAATGGCAAGGAATGAGCAGTCACTGCTCAGCGAGACTGAACTAACTAAGTAAGGCTGAATGTACACTTGATCTGGTACAGATAGAGTTGGAGGCGCTAAAGAAGTATAAATATGTTCATCACTTTATGCAGGAACGGTGCAGTACCTTTTACTTTATCCTGGAACAAGTATACATCAACTCTTGAGAAATACTGCCAGTGGACGAGAAGTCCTTTAGGTAAATTATAATACTGTCCCTTCCAATAGTGCATGAAGGACATGCATGCTCCTATCTCCTTACCAACTACTGCAAAGTCATTATTAATAATATGTATACTGTAAACTTAATCACTTCAGTAACTATTTTTATGCTAAACCTGATGATTCTTCATTGGGTTCTGGGAGAAATCCTTTCCTTCTCTCTTGAAATTGGCTTGATCTTATATTCATGTATGACTTAGTTAGTCCATGGGAGACACCTGTGAATAAACTGGAGGATGGTCTATCCGGAAACCTAAAATCAAAGAAAAATAAAATAATATACCAGAAGATAAAGAAGAATGCATTAGTGTATATCAGGGCTCCTGTGTACATACATATGCATGTATATAATGGTCATTAACTCACTGTTTTATGATTTGTGTTGCATCATTAACTGGGCAGTGGGTAAAGGGAGGGGGAGAAGTGATACTGCACAGAAGAGATGGCTTTGAATAGCTTTCCTATGGAACAATTAAGAATATGGTATGGGGCCAACATATACAGGTACAAAAGGCCCTGTTTATACATATAGGATATTTCGCCAAAAATGGCTAGGAGAGAATTTTCCATTTTTATATTTTTTCTGATACATATACATGTTCTTATGTTGTGTAGAAAGTTTGAACTCGTTCCAATCAAATTTGAATTTTTTACGAATTTTTAAAGTTGTTCCAAAATTGAGCCAAGGACCCTGTACTACAGTACAGGGTCATCGGCCAAATTTCATCAAAAATGACTAGGAGGAAATTCTCCCTTTTTATATTTTTTTCTGATACATATACATGTTCTTATGTTGTGTAGAAAGTTTGAGCTCATTCTGATCAAAATTGAATTTTTTTTACATATTTTTAAAGTTGCTCAAAAATTGAACCAAAACGCTTTTTCCAAAAATTTGCTACTTTTAAAAATGGTCATAATTCAAAACATTTCAGTCAGAAGTAGCTCAAACTTTCCACACAGTCATAAAACTATTACAATGTATTATACATTCAGATAAAGTAACATTGTTATTATCATTATGATTGTTACCTGATCGCCTCCGACTTGCTGGAGCCATGCATCAACAGGCAGTGAATATACATTAATGAGCACTGGAGAGTCATTACCTGCAGTATTAATTTCAAATTAGAGCATTTGTACATTTGCATAAATTTTTAGCACATAAAAATCACAAACTATTTTCTCACTTACTATTAACTAATCCAGTTACAGCAAGATAGTTCCCGCCGGTCGAGAGCAATACTTTTAAAACCCTGTCCATCCCCTCTAACTAAAGGACAATAATACAAGTATGTGAATCAAAATAATGTACATGTACACCTAAATAATGTATTGAACTATTGATAGATAATTTTAGCTTACCTCAACAATACTATAAAACTGATTGTCTTTTGTTAAAAGTATCTGCCCGCCTCCTTCTCCACTGCTGACTGCCACAAGCAGACATGCTGATTCCTCTTTCTGTTCTCCTCCTACCGAGCCTCCTAGTACATTCTTGTCTCCTCCTCCACTCCCTCCTCCTCCTCCTCTCTTAGCTGCTGCTGCTGATGGCTGCCTCTGCTGCTGTATTATCTGTGCACTAATACTTGTCACGCGTCCCTCCATTGGTGTGGATATGAGATCATTCTTCTTATAATCAAGGGAGACTAGCCCACTGTCTCCTCCCAGGCCTGCTAGGAGGTATTCCTTCTCTCCACAGACCAGTTGCTCCAATCTGGTAGCTCCCAAGAGGCCGGGTATCATTATAGCCTCCTCTGTCTTTCTGATAGGCTTGTTCGTTTTCTCTTCTTCCTTTCTCTTCTCCTCTCTTATTTCTAAAAGGCTCCATAGCTCTCTCAGTTCCTCTTGAAGTATATCATCAATGAGACGGTATGGCTGCGGTAAAGGGTCCCACCAGAGTGCTGGGTCGGCAAGATAGTCCCCACATTCATCCACTTCCTTCTGTCCTTGCTCCTCTCCTTCTCCACCTTCAGAGGAGAGGCCAGGAGAGATGACTATAGAGGAACGATGGTGGGCCATTTTCCCGGGCAATTCTGTTGGCATGACAACTTTGTTACCATGACAACAGAAGGTGCGGTTATTAGTGGGAGTGGCTGGTCCTTGCAGAGAACTAAAAAGGAAAGAAGTTAAGAACACAAGAGATGGTAGAGCCTACTGCTGTAAGAATACTCAAATTACTGGAAACTACTTCAGTTAGGGACAGGGTTTACAGGTAAAAACAATAAAAGCAAATAATCCATTCTGCAAAGTGCATGCATATTATTATTATTAATTACTGCTGTACTTGTTGTTGGTAGATTAGTGCAGTATGCCACTAAGCTGGTCTCATGGCTGTTGCAGAGGCAAGGGGTTAGTAAGGAATTTATTCTAAAGGCAAGGAAGTTAGAACAAACACTTTCGCTAGCCAGGAAATGTAAGCACAGGAACAATAATCTCATAATGACATAATAACAGAAATGATAATGAAATCTAATAATTTTATAATAATATGTCATAGCAGGCTCTCTTTTCCCTCTCTTCTCTCAGTATTTAGGATGGGTAAAAGCTTTGATCATTTACGTGTGGCGATGCAGACCATTCACCTAAAGGATCCCTTCCAACGCTTTGTCATCACACTAGCCAAACTATCCCGATTCCTATTCCTCCTCTTTGACCATCTCGTCTGGTTCGGTCGACTACAGTTATTCTGGATCGACGCACAGAAATGGAGCTACCGATCGACTCGGTTCTGGTTCATGGGAATCTTTTTTGGTCTCTTGAGGGACTTTTACGACTTGTTTTCTGCCGTGAGGGTGGAGCAATCGCGTCTGAGGCACGACAGCACTGGAGCAAAGAAGAATCTAGCCACAGCCGTCTCTCGAATGATCCAGAACAATCCTGCTCTCGTCTTGGACACTATTAAAAACTCTACAGATATGTTTTTACCACTCTCACTCTTTGAAGTCGGGAAGAATATATCTCCTGGGTGGGTTGGGTTGATGGGTGTGGTTTCGACGTCTTGCAGTCTTATTGCCGTTTGGAATGAGGGTCTCAAGTTACGATATAGTTAACTGGACTCCGCCTACAATGCTTAATTGAGAATGACTGATTTTTGTAACGCATGATTACACACTTGAGCAAATCAAAATATTTTATTCGATTAAAAATTTAAAATTAATTGATAAAATTAATATAATAACAAATTGACTAAATTAGTTAAGTGATCAAATTTGCAATTAATAAATATTATTAATTCAGTTTATTAGGTGTGGAAGATGGAAGTGATAAAATTTTTGGAAAAGGATTCTCAATTGAAAGATTTCCCTCATCTCCACTTTGATACTCGGACCTTAGAGGTGAGAGTCCTCCATGAGAACCTTGAGGACACAGTATCATAGAACCAAGATGACTCGGTTCCTCATCAACCGTCTGGAGGGGTGTGGCTTTAATTAAACCAGAAATTGGTTCAATAATGATGGGAGTGTCCACCCTTTGTTGAACAGCCACGCCCTTACACTGAAGTGGTGTTAGTGCTAAGTGTGAAAGTGAGTGTCGTTGTTGAATGGGCGTCGGCCTTGAAGGTGAGACCACACCCTCCTCTCGCTTGACCAATCGGTAATAATGACCTTCTCTAGACATTAAATCAGAGTGGCTCCCAATCTCCTTTATCCTCCCGTGGGAAAGTACCATTATCTTATCGTAGACCCTAGCCTGCTCGATCTTGTGAGTAACTGATATTAACGTTTTACCAGATGTGGCGTCTAGTACTGTAGAAAAAACCTTGGATTCGGTCAACGGATCCAGGGCAGATGTCATCTCGTCCAAAAGCAGTACTGGAGCGTTTGATAGTAACATCCTAGCAAGGCCAATCCTCTGTACCTGCCCTCCACTGAGAGACGAAGAGGATAGACCCCACCCATGACCACCACTGGATCTTAACAAGGTATCGTATCCATGGGGGAGCTCCTCGATCCAATCACCCAGTCCGGCTAACTGACACGCCTCCTCTATCTCCTCGTCCTCTGCATCCAGTCGACCCAAACGAACATTCTCCCTCAGACTGGTACCAAATATGTGATTAGATTGAAAGATGGCAACAGCTGATCCGTCCGGTCTACCAGTGGTCTCCTGTCCTGCTATACACACTGAGCCCTCGGTCGGCAGGAGAACTTGAAGTATGAGACTCAATATGGTACTCTTACCACCCCCACTTTCACCAACTATTGCCATCTTCTCGCCAGCTCCTAGTCTAAAGGAGACATCATAGAGCGTCCAATGGGACGCTGAGGACGAGTAGCAAAATGAGACGCTTTCAAAGGATACAGGAACACCTCTCCTACCATGACAAGAGAGACGAGAGCGTAGCAGAGCACTTACCAGACTATCGTCAGGTAACTGACCTAGCTCTTTCATATTGTGATACTCATTGAATAGCAACGAGTTAATTCTACTCATAGAGACTCTTGCTGACTCCAGTGTCGAGAAATGACCAGAGGCACTCGATACTGCCATTAGTGTTAACTGGTACATTAAATAGACTGAGACCCCATGCTCAAACTCAATCCACTTATAGTCTGAGAGCAGTACAATCCCAAGCATCAGTAGCACGCCAAGTACATGTGGAATGAGCATCTGAAACGACACGACAAACTGGACCAACTGGTTTGACTTGAACGATTGGGGAGAATACTCTGTCTTTAGGACTCCCTCTAACTTTGAGAGCCAGAACGAGGCGCAGCGATAAATCCTATTCTCCTTGTAACCATCAAGCATCTCTTTAAAGATATCATTACTCTTGTCAAGAGCCTGGTTCTTCCTTAGGTTGTACAGGCCTAGGAATGATGATAGCCAGACAGTGAACGCATGACTAACAATGTATGCTAGACAGAGAGACAGGCCTAATGGCCATGCTATAGTAACAGCATACGCTATACATGCAATCAACATTAGACACGCCCACAATAGTGTCGTCATCGAAACTGAGATAAAACTTTCAATAAAGCTCACATCTTTGGAGAACACAGAGAGGATACTTCCTGGACTGTGATCAGAGAAAAATGCATACGACACACAATGTATCCTTCGTGCCACCTGCCACCTTAGATTCAAACCGATGTGAATGACTACTGTGTTAATGAGTAGAGCTGCTATATTGGATAGAATGAATCGAGAGAGAATGATAGCAAGAACAATGGCAGACCAAATGAAAGTGGTCCGGAAGTCGCTTCTACTAGCACCGAAACCAAGCGAGAGGAGGTAAGAGAACGAAATAGCTAGACCCAGCTGGAGCGAGACGTTAATCAGAATAATCACAAATACTAGTATCATCCGAAATGAGCATGACTTGTAGTATTTCTTACATAAATCCACCAAGAGTCCACAGTGAGTGAGAGAGAAAGGGCCGGAACTCTCTCCCTCTACGAATCGCTTCCATTTCAACTCCAGGGAGAAAAGGTCATCTCCTTTATAACTGAAACTCTTGCTGGGTCTAAAGCCATGCCCACCACCAGAGGACGGAAGAGATGAGAATAGTTGGGATAGACCTAGAGGCCCGTGAGTTCTTAGTACATACTCAACAAACGAAGCACCAACCGAGAGATAAGATGGCAACTCGTCGATATTATCAGGTCTAGTCCAATAACGAGCTAATAGCAATGAACTTAAGTTATACACTGAGAACAGCTCCTTTGGGCTTGGCCGTGTTTTTAACCCTCCAGCCCCCTCAGTCAATGGCCAGGGTATTTCCCTTGATATCAATTCGAATAATCCGTCAACGAAAAGTTGACCTTCAGAGAGTTGAGGATTAAGCCGAGAAATCTCTTTTAAGTAAAGGGCATGGCAGATTTGTCGGATATTTGATTCTTCCATGGTGGTCTCACAGAAATTTAAAATTTCATTATCAGGAAGCGTGGTTTCTGGCTGTAAGCAAGATGGCTGCCAGTTGAGATGATGATGCGAAAACGATAGTTTTTCGTGCAATTTTTGATAAAATTCTGCCACATACTGAGAGTGAGCAGGCTTGGATTTATCTCTGGAAGTGAAAAAAGAGAGTTTTCGTCTTAGAGGAGCTGGCTTTGTATGCCAATAGCTAAGAAAAAATACAATAATTAAATTCAAAGATCGTTACCATACCTTGTTTTGGGGTCAGTACTTTTTTGCTCCATTGTAGTTAGTGAAAAATGACTACAACCTAAGATTTAACAATTTTAAAACAAGTTATAAGCAAAAGAACCTTACCTTCACCCTGTATGTCAGCACGTGTTTAACTTATACGGAAAATATACGAACTTATTAACGAGTAAATGACCACGCCTTTAATTCTAAAAATAGCTCTCTTGCAATGACGATTATTTGGTTACTAAAAATAGCACTGGCAGCATCATGCATGACCACCGTAGACCACGCCTTCTTGAGTCACTGTTGTACCTGTCCTGTAAAATTAATTCCTGTATTGCAAAAGGGACTAGCATATAAAAGGAAAGGCTAGAGCTAGGGGCAGCAGATTATACTTCAAAGCAAAGCAGGAGAAATTACAATGGCTTTGGCACTTTTATTTCAAAGAAAACTCAAAGAAGTGGTAAGCTAATTTGTCCTAAATAAAGCACACCAGACTCTCCCTCAGGTTCGCAAGAGAGACGAGACTTTAGACATCATTCCTAGTCCACAGGAACACGTGTATATCAGGGAATGCATTGACTGCAAGTTCCTTGTGGCTGGACCTACAACCAAATTTACCATTGGTGAGACAACAAATATTAGATCTAATTAATTTTAAAATTATAGTAATTATTATTTGTAAAATTTTATCACTATTATATATTATATATTTGTAGAAAACTGTGATAATGTAACAGTTGAATTTCAAAGCAAAATTTCATCTGGAATAATGGTATGACCTCTTCCCTCGCCCAGTCTCCATTCCTTGTTTTATTTGCAGGAGGTCATTCAGTGTAGCAATACTACGCTCACTGTTGCCAAAGAGACAAAAGTGCCTACAATCACTATTGATCGCAGCTCATGCATTCACCTTCATCTTCACGAACCTAACGTTGTAAGCTATTGAGAGGGAGAGAGAGAGGGAGGGGGGAGAACAAGAGAGATAGAGAGAGGGGGGGAGGAGGAGGAAAAGGTGAGATATGATCATGACAACTGAGAATGCTGCACTTAAAAATAGTGACACATTTTTGTCATCTTTATCTGTCACAGATCGTAATGCACAGCTACATGTATTATTATTATTATTATTATTACTATTATTATTATTATTATTACTATTATTATGATTATTATTGCTATTATTATTATTGCAGATGTCAATCATACATACTGTCGGTGTGCTTGATGTCTTTGTCCACTTTGAGCCGCCTTTCATGACTGAGCAGAAAGTAGATCATCCACCACAAGAAGACGGAGAGTTCATGACAAGATGCTCTGTTGGCAAACTGATGACAGAGAAATGTATCAGAGGTAACAAGACACATAATACATGTACTACAGCAGGAGTCAAGCCATATGCATGTACATGTATAAACCAATTGGAAATTAGAAATAGCTCAATAGGTTTCTATTTGATATGACACTGGTTAACAAAACAAATATTGTTCTTTTTTCTCCTGAGTATGTATTATTAATAATATTTATGTCCTTGTAGAGGGAGGCGGCTATTTAACTACCGTCAGAGAGAAGGAGATCGCTGACAAGAAAGTTGCAGAATGTAAGCTCATGCGAATGATACTTTTAATATATTTAAATAACTACGTAATTATTATTATTACTCTTGGTTTTATTGGTGTATTATCTTTTATTTAAGTTGAAAAGAAGATGGAGGAGATGGTGGCAGGTACGATTGGCAAGAAACCCAAACCAGTCGCCACAAACGACAAGAAGGACACACCCAAAACCACTCCCACTCAAGCCTCACCAAAAAGCAAACCAGTAGACGTTGGAAAAGATGGCTCTTTAGCTGACGCCCTCCAAAAAGGAAAAGACAAACTCAAACATGCAGAAACTGTTGAGAAGCACCTGCCAGTGGTGGGTGTCGGGAGCTGTGGACGTGGTCAAGGAAACCAGTACAATATATCAGACGATGCGGAGAAGAAGGAATATTTTGATGGAGAAGAGGCCCTGGATAAGAAAGTAAAGAAGATTGCTGATTGGGTTCGAGGGTCTAAGCACACCATACTGTTCACTGGAGCTGGTATTAGTACAAGGTATGCATGTACATTTGTAGATTAAAACCAGATTTTATGTTATGCTGGCAATTTCTACCAACCATCAATATTACATTATTTATATCTCTTAGTAGTAGTAATATTGTTTTAGTTGTGACCTTTAATTTATTTAAAAAAAATTTTTTTTAATTCTCTCTAGTGCTGGTATACCTGATTTTCGTAGTGGAATGAATACAGTACTAGCAACAGGTCCAGGAGTTTGGGAAGTCCGGGCTCAAGGGACGAGTCGTCCAAACACTAAGATCACTCCAATACTGCAGGCCTCACCAACACCAACACACATGGCCATTGTAAAACTACACGAGTCAGGTACATCCATTTGATTATAGAATTATACAAATAAAACAGACCCTGTACTGTAGTACAGGGACCTTGGCCCAATTTCTGAGTAACTTTAAAAATTCTTTAAAAATCCAATCTTGATCGGAATCATTTCAAACTTGCTACACAACATAAGAACATGTATATGCATCAGAAAATATTATAAAAATGGAGAATTCTCTCCTAGTCATTTTTGGCAAAATTTGACCAAAGAAGACCCTGTACTATAGCACAGGGACTTCAACCTAGGGAATCAACCCTATTTAATTTTGCTCTCTCTCCTTTAGGTCTATGCAAGTTCACAGTGAGTCAGAATGTTGACGGTCTCCACAGGAGGAGTGGCCTCCCTCCAAACCAACTCTCAGAGATGCATGGAAACACTAACATGGAAACGTGCAAGAAATGCGGCAGACAATATCTGAGGGACTTCCAGACCAGGTGAGGGGGGGGGAGAGAGGGAGAGAGAGAGAGAGAGGATTACTGTTTTATTTCACTCTCATTTCAGGGAGGCTGAGCATGTGTTTGACCACACTACCTCAAGACTATGCGATGATCCGGCCTGTAAGGGTCAGCTCAAAGACTCCATCATTAATTTCGGTGAAAACTTACCTCAAGGGGAACTGACAAAGGCATTTAATCATGCCCAAAAGGTACATTAACTAGACACACCTATACATGTAGTACAAGTAATACATGTTTATTTTTTTATACATGTTGCGTGTTTTATTCCTTCCTCTCTTAATAGGCTGATGTGTGTATTGTACTTGGATCCAGTTTAAGGGTCAGACCAGCTTGTCAAGTCCCTGAGGTGGTCGCTGGTAATAAGGGAAAAGTTGTTATATGCAAGTAAGCTTTATGATTGTGAATTTTAATATGATGCGTTTGAATGCTTATAACTGTAAAAAATTCAGCTTAAATTTTCTGCATGGCATAATGCTCCTCTTAAACCAAAAATTTATGATTGAGATTGACTGAATTGCACACCAGTATATCTACTTCTTTTCATTCTATTCTTCTAATGCTTTTTCAGTTTGCAGAAGATCCCACAGTTTCCAGAGAGCAATAATGTACTTCCGGTCTATTCCATGTGTGACACGTTTATGAAGAAACTCATGCATGTAAGCCACACCCAAACAAAACTAACCACACCCCTTACCACTCCCCCAATACACAGGAACTTCAGTTAGAGATTCCGAAATTCTTACTCCATCGCAGAGCCAAAGTGACAAGCAAGACAAAAGGTATATAAATCGGCCATGTTTTAACCACACCCACTTTATACCGCCCACTCAAACAGGTGACAATTTGGAGGTGACAGTAAACGGGATTGATGTTGATGAGGATATACCTTATTCATTTATAATGGTAATTTAATTAATTAATAAAAATACAATTATAATGTCTACTTGTGTAAAAATTATATTTATGCCTTAACATGATTTGATTTGAGATCTCAATAAAAATCAGCTTAATGTGATCACTTTTACCTGCAATTCTGTAGGCTGCAAGTTGTGGCGGTAAAAGGATCGCTAAGGCTCCATTTACATTTTCAGTACCAGCAGGAGAGGCAGGTAGTCAGCCTCTTCAGATCAAGTTGGAGTTTCTGGGTCATTATGGTGAGGGACCTCTCACTTTGGAGTACGAACCAGCTCACAAAACCTGTTTGTACTGGCTATCATACGACATGAGCGAAGGAGCATGGCATCAAATGAAGAAACAAAATCAATAGGTGTTGTAATAGAACAAGAATAATAATTACATATTAATGATTATTTTTATTTACGGTATTATTAGTGTTGATTATTTTATGATTCATTTTATTGTTAGTGTTTTTACAGATTAATATTAACGATTTGCAGTATTATAATGTTGATTATTTTATTACATTGTCATTGTTTTTAGTTGTTTGCTAACTTGAATTAAATCGTTAATGTCATTCTCTTTCTTGTCTTTTCTCTCTACCCTCTTCTCAAGACTCGTTCCCATACTGCCCGGGCTGATTCCCATTCCAGGTTGTTTCATTCCCACGTCAAGAGGAGGAGGGGGTAAGACGTAGTGACCCATTCCGGCAGCCATCTCGGCTTCTTTTTGAGTATACACCGGCTCTCTCAAAGCAGTCAACCTAAAGCATACATTGCGCCATAGTGATGTCATGCGAAACCACACCCACCTTCTCTTGTGAAGCTTGCTTTTAAAGTGTTTTTTCAATGCGTCCTCGTTAATAAAGTAACGCCTAAAAATTGAAAAACAGTGTGCGTCTAATTATTTTTGCGAGTCACTCACGCGCAGTGTAGGCAATAATGCTGTCCTTCCCCTGGGAGGTCCTGGTCTCTTGGCTGGTTGCTCATTTTCGCTGCATTCTCCGGCTCCATGTCTTCAGTTATTTGGTCCAGATCCTTGATCCTCCGTCTTGTCCTGTGTTTCTTTTTGATGGACTTGTCGTTGACGTGCATTCTCTTCTTTCGTAGCCGACCCATTTTCTTTGAATCAAATCACGTGATTAATGTCACGTCCACGTCGTAGCACGTGGGTGAGCCCGTACCTACCCACGTGTTAACACGTGTTGTGTATCTATGGTTGTTTTTTAGCCTGACTTGTTTTTATTCGTAGACAGTCCCTTAGCATCATTTATAAGACTCACATGGTTCTTATTATAGCCCAACCTCAAATTATAAGATTCCAATTACATTATGGTACCATCCCTTTACCAAAATTGATGAGCTATATTTTGTTTGCACACAAAGAGTGCACGGTGCGTGGGAGGCATTACATGTGTAGCTGGGTGTACAAATACTTGTGCAATTACTACTTGCAATTATATACTTTAGCTTGTATACAATAATTGAATAAAATAATGTAATTTTAAAAAGTTTAGCAGAACTTCATTGTAAAGCTTCTGTGAGACAATCATACAGCTATTGATTCTTACAAGTGTACGTTAGATTTAATAACATGCAAACGTGCAAGTTGTAGGCTGCAACATTTGTTTTAAAAATAACAATTGCATTGACACAAGTCTATCAGTGCTATCATAGTCACCATAATTAGTTTATATTATCCATAACACAAACACCATCCATCTCAAATAAAAGGAACATCACAACTAAAGGAACTAGACACAATTACTTCAAAAATGAGTGATGTATTTTATAACTTTACTGAGTCAAATGAGGGGGTCTATGGTCCAGCAGTTGCAGTCATTTTAGGCTTAGAAATGGTAGCTGGCCTGTTTGCTAATGCAGTTGTACTATGTATCACTCTTATGCAAAGGAAATCGTTGAGTCAGCCATCAACCATATTCTTCACTTCTCTTACTGCAGCACATCTTCTGATGGTGCTACTCTATCTCCCTGTATCAGTGATTGCAATAGGAGCTGAAGAGTGGATATTTGGCAGCAATTTTGAAGAAAAGAAAATAACTTGCTCCATCTCAGCTTTTGTATTCTGGTACTCAGTCCTGCTCATGACGATTAATCTCGCCGTCATATCATTTGATCGATTCCTCTTTATTGTCAAACCTCACTTTTACAAGCAGTTCATGAGACCAACGGTAGCCTTGATCCTCACCATTGCAGTATGGATATTATCTGCTGCTTTGAATTCAACACCACTTTATGGTTTGGGTGCATATCAGTATGGACCAAGTTACGGTTCTTGCATTCCAACGTGGCGTAATGTACCAGGTTACTTATCATTCATGGCTGCCATATTCCTTATAGTCCTTGCTTTCATCATCGTAACCTCTCTCTGGACATTTTGCTTCACAAGGAAATTCATGCACGAGCAGGAGCCATCTCAGCAAAGCAATGTCTATCAGTCGAAGGAGAGGAGGCTCTTTGGAATATTTGGTGCCATGCTCATTGTATATGGTGTGTGCTTTCTTCCTTCTGTAATAACTGGAATCATGACAATATTTGTCATCTTACCAGGACAAGTGTACGCTATGGACATGATTTTATTTCAGCTGATTACATCTGGAAGTCCACTAGTTCAGTCTTATTTTAGACCAGATATAAAGGAACGCCTTACCTTTATTTATAAAAGGTCCTTGCAGATGATGAAAAATATATTTTACTCCAGGAAGAAAAATAATCTCAGTCAGGATGAACAATTGAGCTAAATTTTACAAAAATTATGCAAAAGAAAATTATTTTATAAATGCTGTTTTAATAAATCATTTATAACTTTATTAACTTAATACATGGGCGGAGCTAAAATGACCACACCCATTAGTTGACCACGTGCTTACATGATGGCAAGTACAGAGTTCCCTGAATTTCTTTTTCCCGTTTGCCATGTCAAAGAGGAATATATAGAGACTACAGTCGAGGAGAACTCAAGTTCAATGTGGGGGTTTCATCAGCGCCTCAATCAGGTAGAGTATGGCAATCTCTCAGCTTTTGTCTTGAACGAGAGAGAAGGAGGTGAAGAAAGGGTTAAAAATAGCAGTCACGATGAGCTACACTACAGGAATGGCTGTATGTTCTGATGTTTGTGTTGCTTTATTTTTTTAATTATTTTTAATTTAGCTCGTGATCAAATTGTTCATTACTTGACCAGTCCCCTTCCTTTACTGCCTCCTAACGCAAGTACTTAGTATATTAAATAAATACTAAAATTATTATCAATATTTTAGCCACACCTTATGATTTTGTACTGAAATCGGATAAAATAAACTTGACAAAGAAGCTCGTTGACAATCAAGTATTAATATTATGATGATTCAATGATTCCTTTCTCTTTGTCCCAATCTTTCCCTATCTCATTTAGTATCGCTACTTTAAGCTCAAGTTTCCTCATACATATGTACCAGTCAAGACACTTATAACGAACATCAAAGAAGCTGTGATTTCCAACCATATTAATGAAGTATATGGCATTATTTTGCTTAATGATAGGATTTTAGCACAGTATAGTGCTCAAATGATTTGCTCCAAAATTAGACCAATGACCCTGTGCTATAGTACAGGGTATTTCACCAAAAATGATTAGGAGAGAATTCTCAATTTTTATAATATTTTCTGATACATATACATGTTCTTGTAGCAAGTTTGAGCTGATTCCGATCAAGTTTGGATTTTTTATGAATTTTTAAAGTTACTCAAAAATTGGGCCAAAGTCCCTGTACTATAATAGTACAGGGTCTTTGGCCAAATTTCGCCAAAAATGACTAGGAGAGAATCCTTCATTTTTGTAATATTTTTTGATGCATATACATGTTCTTATGTTGTGTAGCAAGTTGAGCTGATTCCGATCAAAATTGGATTTTTTATGAATTTTTAAAGTTACTCGAAAATTGGGCCAAAGTCCCTGTACTATAGTACAGGGTCTTTGACCAAATTTTGCCAAAAATGACTAGGAGATAATTCTTCATTTTTGAAATAATTTATGATACATATACATGTTCTTATGTTGTGTAGCAAGTTTGAGCTAATTCCGATCAAAATTGGATTTTTTATGAATTTTTAAAGTTACTCGAAAATTGGGCCAAAGTCCCTGTACTATAGTACAGGGTCTTTGACCAAATTTTGCCAAAAATGACTAGGAGATAATTCTTCATTTTTGAAATAATTTATGATACATATACATGTTCTTATATTGTGTAGCAAGTTTGAGCTGATTCCGATCAAAATTGGATTTTTTATGAATTTTTAAAGTTGCTATAATATGACTTATTGGCATATACTATTACTTTTGTTAGGATATTGAGCCATGCCAAGGCTCAGTGGTTGAGTATGTCCCTAGTTTACTTGGAAGTGATGAGAAAATGGAGGGATATCTGATTTTTGCAGGCGGTCCTAATCTTAATGAGCTCAGTATCTACTGTTAGACTGTATGCAGCACTTGTATAATGATGATGATGATGATATACGAATTAGTTATAAGATAATTCTACCATAATTATTTTATCATTTCTCCTTAATTGATAACCTCCAGATATTACTGTATTATCTCATCACACTGACAGTAATCCTAGTAGCTCTGATGTGAAGGATTACGAGTCTTTCTATCAATACATTAATGAGTCCGGTTCACTGCGACCCTCTTGTGCTGAAACCCACAGAATGCCTGGAAGGATAAGAGAGATTGATTCAGCAATTGTGAATGAAAGAAGTAAGTCAAAACTCAACAGTGTGTTTTGTAAATTACTGCACTCTATCATTAATATTAAGAAATGTACTATTACATTAATTTATGATGCTTTGTGTATAATTATTACTGTTGTTAAGGTGATGTGTGCATCCATAATTGCTTAATTATTTCTTTCTATAGTATTTGTTGCTGTAAGGACTGGCTATTACATTGCATTATTTGATGTAAGGAGGAGAATGAGAAGGTGATGATAACTGTCATTATAATTAATGATTATTAGGGCCCAAGCAAGTCAACCGAAAAACGTCTCAGAAGAAAATGGAAGAGCTCGTCAGTAATGGTGAGTTAAGGGAAGAGATGACTGCGAGTTCATTTATTATTTTGATAGTCTCCATCTCCAGTTACTCTTCTCAAGTCACTCAAAGTTTATCAAACTCCTGCCCTTACTAGCTCCATCTCAATCTGGTATAATATTATGAGAAAACACACAACTGTTCTTCTGATTTATTTAGGCTTTTACTTTATGCTTTCTTTCTCCCCCTTGTGATATTTTTCTTTTGTTTGCCTAGTCCTTATATTTATGGAGAGTGTTTATTTATGATTGAAACTGGTGGGCTCTATTTGTGGAGCTTTGAAGGAGGGTAAGTGTTATAACAATTATGTAACTGTAAAGTGTAATGGGTGATACACACTGTAGAAAATAACATACTGTGTACAGTGGAACCTGTGCTAAAGGTCACCTGAGTAGTGAGGCCACCTCTCTATTACAGCCATAAGCCAAAGTCCCAATCAAGACCTGTACTAAATGGCTGTATTACATAGGCTGACCTGTAATGCAGCCACCTACATAATCAGGCCATTTAATACTGGCCCAAGGGTGACCGGATTAAGCAGGTTCCACTGTAGTGTGTAATGACCTCTCTTTCTTTCTCTCTGTCTTTTTTCCCCTTGCAAGGATAAAAGAAATCCAGTCGCCTTTATGTGGCCCTTCCTCTCTCTCACACTTGTGGAGGTGCGTCTGGGGGCCGCACCTTTTTTCTGCCGTTGTCCTGGAGCATAACTGTGTCTCGTTAGTTGAATTTAGGAACGATAAGGTCACGCATACATATATTATAGATCGGGTAAGACTAGCCTTGGATTATCAATGCTTTTATGCAAAGTATAACTCTATAGGACAGTAAGTACATGTCATCTAATTGGATCACGTCAGCTATTGTACAGCACCCAATCCAACCATTTTACATATTCATTGCAACGACTGATAAAGTGTTGCTGTTTGATTTACGCCAGCTGCATGAGCCGGTAAGCTTTTTGTTATCAAAGTAATGACTCTGAAGTCACTTGTGGTAAAGGTTTTAGAGATAAGGCACGAGATTTCAAAGACGATACATTATTTGGGCGTGGCTTGTTTTTCATGGCAGCCGGAAGTGACTAGTCTAATGATGTCTTCACTGCATGGCCCACAATGTCAGGTTGTGAATATAAGAGGTAAGTACATGTAAATTTATTATTTATTAGTATTAATATTTATTTATTTATTATCATATAACTAGGTGGTTACAATTTATCTGAAGAGAAAGTTCTTCCGCCAAGAATATCAATGACGTTACATGCCGTAGATACATACAGGTAAGGCCTCTTTTTTGAGGTAAACTTCAGAATTTTTAATTGAAGTCAGCTCAATTCTTATAGCATAGGATATCGGTATGTAAATCTATTACAAGTTGAGAGACAATTTTTGAATAGTCCCCACAGATTTCATGACACTATTAAAATATGCTTCTATATCTATATATCATTACTTTTAAGTTATACACATAATATCACGGTATTCTTTATTCTTCAGTACATTTTGTGAAGAGCTCAATCTCTCATCATCGCTACTTTACTGTCGTCTAACTCAGAGTCTAGCTGGGGCTTGTTTCGTTCCTCTCCTCTCTTCACAGTCACATTGTGCTGTTTTCATTTCCTCAAAAGGTGACCTTTTCTACCAGTCGTGGCTTTACGGGGCTCCTCCCCCAAAAACAAAACCAGTCGTACCTCATTTACCGTCAGAGGTCAAATTATGGGTCGAAGAAGCGTTGAAGATGGAGAGGGTGGGTTTGGCCATGTTGTGGGCATGGTTATATGTCTTTTTTGGTGTTTGTAGGAAGTTGAGACAACGACTGTCGGCCTTGCCAGTAAAGAAGGGAAGACCAATGATTTTGAGCTAATATTTGATTGTGAGTTAACTATTAAAATCTTTTAATTATACATTTTTATTCCATACAACATGTTGAATATAAAAATGTACTACATTGACTTTTGTATGGACTGCTCTACAATGCAATGTTGGGCTTAATTGAATTTCACTCAATGATGCATGCATAATAGATATATTGTCAGATTTACCTGATGAGGGTTTATGCTTGAAGTGTGCGACTATACTTCCATTGGAAGGAATCAGAGTAGAGCCACACCCTCCTCCACCAACCAATGGGACTAGCATTCTTTGGAGATGCTCCTTTTGTCTTGAAAGACAAGTACTGAGAAGATATCTGAAGGAGACAGAGTTAGTTTAATCCTGATTGGGATAATATTTAGCAGTAGTATAAATTACTGTAGCATATGATAAGTTTAGTAGGAGTAATCATTATATTAGTAATAGTAACGATACTAATAATGATCCAATTGCATAATCCTAATATAGTAAGACCCCTCCCTATTTCTCTCAGGAGTCTTGATGTTGATACGACTGGTATAGAGTATTTACAGAAGGTGGCAGGGATTTCAAATGAGACTGATCCTAAGTCTCTAGTTTCAGAGTATGACGAGTTATGTGACTTGTGGGATAAGTGGGACACTGCTCCGGAACCAGAGAATGAAAATGAGACCCCTGGGGGTGAGGGGGGAAAAGCTGATTTGCATCCTATCAAAGAAGAAGGAATGGAGGATAGTCAGTCTAAAGCTTCACAATCAAGAACCAATGGTTAGTTTGCTTGGTTCTTCACAAAATTAATATTTTCTCACGTCTGTATCAGATACCCCATCACAGCCGAGAAAGAAATCAAAATTTGGATTTTAATAATGTTTATTTTAATA